ATATCCTCAGTGAATATTCAAATGGCAACTATGGGTTAGTTTAGAAGAATATGTCAAAATAACAAAATTGGCAGGGTTAAATGTGACTAGCTTCCCTTGCACAGAAGAAAATTAACTATGCAAGCTGGCATCACGTACTAAATTATTTTTTCAGAACACTGATAATAGAAGCATATTAGACAGAATAGCAAAAATGATTGTGAATGAATAAAAAGTATATAGAGTGAAATGGCAGTTGATAACTGCATCCTCTATGATCCATGCAAAAGCAGCAAAATCATTGCATGATTGTCATTAAGTAGGTCTATGATTAAGAAGTAACATTTGTGCATTTCATCTGAAAATGTATCTGCTACTAAACATGAAAAGAAATTAACCAGAGCCATAATGCCTGATAAAGCAATACTGAAACATAATTACCAATTTTCAGTCACAGTGGGAATCTGAGTTTCACTTTGAGCTTTTCCATCAAGCTGCCTACACCATGAAACGGCTGTGTTGATGTAACTGGAGAGAGAGTGAGAGTGAGAGTGAGAGAGAAAAAGAATAACAAAGGGAAGTTTAAAAAAAAATAAAAAAAAAAAAAATATATATATATATTTTTTTTTTTTTTTTTTTTTAACTTTACCTTTATTTTAAAAATGCCCTATTTAACACTAGTAGATTGGTCCACCCCCTTGTTTCAGTTATAAAAACCCTTACAGTAAGAATAAACTTAGTGGGAATTCAGCACCAGGTGAGGTCCTTCCATGTCCCATCTGCTATTACTCTCCAAGGGAAGCATTTCACTAGCACAATATTCAGTCTCAGAGTATATACGCGTGCTCTGAGTTGAGGAAGGGAGGTAGTGTGGGGAGACAGCACTGTTCTCTGCAGGGTGTGCATCTTACATGGATATCATTTTACAATATGCCTTTAGTTTTTTTTTTTTTTATCATCATCTTGACAATTACATACCTTTTATGCTCTCCTGGGCAATCCCTCTGAACTAGCAGTGATGATCCATTGGGAAAATGTAATACACACTCACCAAAATCATCACGTTTAAGAACAGGCAACGCTTCAGCAGTTTCTTTGTTCTGACACCCAAAAAAATGAAATGTGTTTAGTGTTAAAGACAAAAGGTTAAGTACACATTGATTATATTTAAAGCATTCAAATTCGAGTTAAGGTGTAAAATCCCATCAACCTCAATAGACAGTTTTTGTTAAGATGCAACTGCGAAGTATTTATGCTACTTTGTTGTTTTGAATTTTATATTTCTACCATATGTTTTGCTTAATTTGACACATTTACTTTGGATATAAAAATCATCCTATTATCCTGTCTACTTTCACATAAAATGCTCCAGGCTTGTAACTGTGAGCTGCTGATAAAACCATAAAACTCTGGCTCCTTAACACTGACAACCGAGTGCTAGCACAGGTATTTAGAGATATCCACCAATGTCTGAATGCTCCTGGACCAAATTGGGCACAACCATAGGGTTCAGTACAGGACCCATTTGAATTGCACAATCCACACACTGTTCACTCTATTTAGCAAGTCTGGCTCTAAAATGAGAGTGAATGAAATCAGGATTTCATTCTGTCTGAAAGGTGCCGAACAGCTGAAATAGGTATACAGATCTGTATTATTATCTGCTGGCAATGCTAGTGGCATGACCATTCCTCCCACTTTCTATTTTTTTAATTTTTTAAGCACCCAGCCTTATGCCCACAAGTGACTGGGCCTTTCCTTTAATTTACTGACCCGATCCTCATGAAATTAGGATTTTTTTGTGGCTATCCATTAGTCACAATTATAATTTTTTTTTTAACCCAGCCGTGAGTTATTAAAGTGAGTTAACGGTAAGCAACCACAGGCTTCCCATGGTTTAGTAGATTAACTCCCATTCACAGCACGGTATTTCTCTCTGTAGTTAGATAGGAATTATATTCAGTCTCATATGCATAATTTATTTATTTTTTAATTCTTTCTTTTTGAAGTGCAGGGTTAAGTACCGGTATATGCTTTAGTATTGATATATAGTATGGGACATAAGATGCATATATGAAAAGTCAGGATATGCTGCACTTTTTTTTTCCCCCCGAAAAAGAAAGAATTGTACAGGAGAAATACATCCTTGACATGTGGAGACCAAAGAGGTAGACATCATGGTAACAAAACAAGAAATTGAGCAATTAATACTTTTAGATAAGCGAGATCGTTTAGCGTCAGTCTTCCATGACGTTAACTTTAAATAACCATGATGGCAGGGTTCCTAGTTTTAATAAAAAAAAAAAAAAAATGAGGTAATGAGTCATGCTATGGTGTTTCTCGGGTGGACCATAATAAGGTCAGGCAAGCCTAGTATGATTTAATGTAAGAGACCATTAAAAAACAAATTTTTTGGACATTTTAATTAAAAATGGGAACTGGAGTACTCAGAGGTGGGAAAAATACATTTGCTAGGTCCCTTAATGACCTGCTCCACCCAAGGGGTATATTGTGTATCAGGGTATGACTGTTTAGTCGCAGAAGTAATAAACTCCTTAATCCTGGAATTGGGTGTCCACAGCGTCCATTACCAGCGGGCGCAAGGAATGGATCAGTCTTCGATATCATGGTCAGCCTGTAGTGATGGCCATTGGTTTCGACTATGAGTGCTCTCGTGTATCCCCATTTGTATTAGATAGATGCAGCGCACAGCTTAGCAGTTATTCCCGTTAAGGATGCACACCACTGTAGCATTGGGTAGATGAATGCTTAAGTCCTGAAAAAAGCTCAATAAGTGTTCCTCAGAGACAAAGGGAGATTGACCCCGGACAGTTTCAGAAACATTTGTCATATCTGAACTTAAAGCTTATGATGACATCTCGTGGTGTGGGAGATTTGTTTTAAGGTCAGTCGGGTAGACGATCAAGTCCATCCAGTGATAGTCCTTGTTTAGGTGTTAAGGTTGCAGGGAACAACCTCCTGATAAATGGTGGCAATTCTGCAGGGTCTATAGTGTCAGGGACCCTTTTCACCTTCTAATTGCCTGATCTTGGCACTTAGTTGTGCACATGTGCTCAAAATGAACGCTACTTGTGCCACGGTAGAATCTGGTTTGATTAGTCGATTATGGACATCTTCCTCAGTGGCTCGTATGCGCCCAGTCAGTGCATTCAGGTCTTCCTTAAGTACTGCCATCTTGGAGGCGAAGAAGGCCTTAACCCCTTAAGGAAACATGACATGTGTGGCATGTCATGATTCCCTTTTATTCCAGAAGTTTGGTCCTTAAGGGGTTAAGCTCTGCTTAACAGGTCAGATCACTTTTGGTGACCAGGGGTGGTTCTATTTGCCGTGGCTCTGTCTGCCGTGGAGGGAGAACCTTGCTCCTGCGTTGGTATGTCAAGGCCTCCTCTAGCTCCTGGTCCTCTTCCTCCGAGGGAGACATCGAGTCCGGCAGAGACGTTAACTGCGGATCCGCCATTTTCTTTTGGGACTGCATGACTGGGAGAGTAGTTGTCCAATATCGTGGGTATGCTCCTTGCTAAGCCCTCTAGATTTCTTAGAGTGCTTCCCCATCGCAATCCAAGAGTGGGGGTAGCTCTTAATGGATCAACATGCAACCAAAGCACTCGAAAACAGATTAAATCAGCAAGATGTATCCGGATCTCATGCGTCTTGTCTGTTTGCTGGTTTGCTCCGCCCTCCAATTGTTTTATTTTTAAACATGTTTGTGGTGATCTCTAGCCTGTCTATTCCTAGTTAAATTTGTGCTGCTGATATTTTTTTTTAGCAAACCGTTGATTACATGCAAGCCCTGCCGGAGGACAAATACTCAGGGTTTTTCCTAAGTCACTTGCAAAAAAGACAGATTAGAATGAACAAATGGGCATTCTACCAGATGAATTTAGCCTTGACGGTCTTAAAAAAAAAAAACAAAAAAAAAAAAACACCCACACAAAACAAAACAACCTGGAGGTACAGCCTGATTTGACAAATCAAAACAAACACAAAATACCAAGCAATACGAACAGCTGCTGCCAAGCTACAGAATCTGATATTAAATATTTTTCAAATGCACTGTGCAACATGACAGCATAAAAAAAAAATAAAAGCTGTTAATGAATTAGCAAAAGTCTTTAAAAACCAGGAATTTTGCAAAGCAAAATAGGGGCCACAGAGATGTACTTTTTCAGATACGTTACCTTAATAATTGGGAGTATTGATTTCAGAATTGAATGCTATTTCATTGGAAATTAAACAGTTCATTGCCTCCACCCCAGCACTCTACAGAATATCATTATAGACCTGCTATAGACTGCAGCTCAGTGGTCGGACTACAGATTATTGTTAATTTCTTTTAAATAAATTTAAAAAAATAATAATTTTTTTTTACCTGTTCTTGCTTATTAAAGTGATTAAAATTCCAGGTCATGTGAAGATATACTCCATCCAAAAAATGTGCAAGCACGGTATTATCAGAATAAACTGTATAGGTTCCTTTGTCTGGGACAGTAGCTTTAGCCAATAGCACTGGGAATACAGTTTGGGCATTAGAACTGGACTCCTGGAATAAAGAAAAAAATAAATAAACAAACAAACACTCTCAACCACCATACTTTAGCAACCCATAGTCAAACATACAAAAACTAACAATGTTCAATTCTAGTAGCAGGATGTAGACAGATATGGATAAAACAGGTCTAGGAAAAATGACCCGGCGGTCGAAGGGGAGGTAAGCGCCTGTCTTCATACACAGGAAGTCTGTCCCCAAATATCTTCCCCTGCCTAGTCTTTATTGATACCTGGTAAAGAGGGGCAGCTCCGTATAATGTACTGCAGGCTGGGAGAATGTCGGATCTTTCTGTAATCTGTTCTTACTTAGTTTCAGGTAATTGCTCAGACAGAGAGTGCTTACATAAGTGGCTGCCATGAAAAGAAACCTCGAATCGCACGCAAGAAAATACACAGGAACGAGTCAGACCATGTATCTGAATGAAACTGTATTAGATATGGCAACTCATATAGCCAGTGAACAGGGGGAACACACAGACACAGCTGAGTAGTAACATGACATCTCTAAATATGGAAATAATGCGCCATGGTAGATGCCGCTTACTATTTAATACGGTAATAAAGTATACACCACGGTTCTATTGATTTGTACAGATTTTATCTCTCCCTTAGCAGAAATGAGAGTATAGATCCTTACTAACAATAAATGTTGTGTAGCCTTTACTGATAATTCAACTTACATCTCTCCAACAACATGATTCAAAAAGAGGACTTTGGGAAAGCATTGTATTGTGACACATCTTCAGAAACCTACAAAGAAACAAACAAAAATAACTACAAAGTACAACAGTCTCATCACAATGGACTTCAGAACTCAAACGATTTCGGTTATGACAAAAGTTAGTGGCACTAATGCAGAGACCCATCACATTTGTGCACATATAAATATGTTTATAGAATGCATGTAGCATACACTTTGCTGAAAATCTGCCTTATGGCCTCTGATATGTATCAGAAGTCTTTTTGCCCACTTACTCTATAGTGATATACTAAACCAAAAATGATTTCACTCAAACATACTCTTGGAAAACCTCCCATTCAGTGTTGCTCAAGCCAGAAATTCTCATTTCCTCCTGAAAACCATATATTCCACCCACCCCAAAACACTTCAGTCCAGCTGTTACCCAACCTTGATCTTGCATATTTATTCTAAAGCATGATGTTTGCCTAGTCCTGCTGATGCTGCTGGCAATCTCTCAGTAATTTGTATAGTTGTAAGTTCACCAACGTATAACTCAAAACGTTGACGATAAAATGATGAATTCTTTAAGGTAATTCTATGTAAATGGATAGGTTTTGTGTAAATACTCTGCTTAGTTTAAAGAAAGGATTGAAAAGGCAGATGTGGGACCAAAATAAAGACCAAATAATTATTAGTCACCTTCCAGCCTGCTCGATCACAGAACGCACAGAATATAGTGCTCTAGGCATGTCTGGAGGGAGGTTGCTTGTAGTGTATAACCGGTGTTCTTTCTAGAATTCCAAATAAAAATATTACTTATACAAATTATGGTAAAATAACTCACAAAATAACTTCTTTTGGATCAACAGTAAAAACATATGTGAGGAAGGCTGAACTTGATGGATGCAAGTCTCTTTTCAGCTATGTAACTATGTAATTGTATTTCCCAATGTGACACAACACTGCATAAAGTGGTACCTAAATAGCATCAGACTGAAATAAAGGTTTACACGAGAAACACATTAATTAGCAATGTTGACTAACACTTCTAAAATAAACTGCTGCAAATAAGATTTAAATTGATAAAGAAAGCTGTTTTAGGATCTGTGGGAGTAATTTTTATTCACTGGTTTTAATAAAATGCAAAGAAACTGAAAGGCATTTCATTCATATGTATGTTATATGGTTAAATACAAAACCTTGAACTTTAGCAAATTAAATTTGTCTAATTTATGTGACTTCAGCTGAGATGGAATTTTTCCAAATCTTCTTATTTATTTTAAATTCTTTGTTTTTGCCACAGGCAGACGTGTGGTATGCATATCAAAAACATACGAAACATATAGATAGTTATCCACATTCAGACATTATAGTGTAAGAGGTACATAAGTCGTACTGTGGGTTTTTGATTAGATGCATAGTCGTGGCTCTGTCATTAGGAAGTAAGCAGTATCAAGTCTTCTATTTTTGCATGCATTTTGCCACGTATGTAGAGCAACTCTACAAGTTTTTCATATAGATAGAAAATTTTTGAAAATGTAAAGACATTTCAACACAATCAATCAAAATATATACATGAGATAAAGTAGGGACTACATTGTCTCATGTAATTGCCAATCTTCAGCAAAAGGCAATGCTTCCTCCACCATTTCCCATTGATTGTGACAGCTGTTGGGATTGTAATTGTCTACAAAGTGCCATAGATTCCTATGACACGTTACTGCGCATGTGCCAAGTTATCTGTGGATTTTATCAAAGGATTCTCTGGAGACACCACTCAATAGGAAAGTACAGTAGTGATGAAGGCACAAGGAAGGACAGCTTAAAGGGACTCTATAGGCAATGTAACTGCTTCATCTCATTGAAATGGTTATAGTGTCTGGAGATCCCTGGCGCTATCCTTCCATTTAACATTAAACTAGTTTTAATAGTTATCCTCTCTGTGCTGCTTGGGATAATGAGGCCTACAAGAACCAAATAAAGGCAAAAACCCTAAACTTGACTGTGCCACTTTAATTCTCTAAAATAGAAAGTTTAGTGAATAGCCATGTTTAATACAGTTCATACAAATTGTGTTAAAGAAGATTGAATATTCACTTGCATCAAGATCATTACAAATTGGGTTTTAAATTAAAAACACACTCTTTTCTTTCTATTAAAAAATAAAAGTTCTAGATGTAATGACTGTTGGGATCAATAGCTTAAAAAGTGTTAAATGTATAATTTTTGGAAATTGGAACATGAAAATACATCAACACCAGTGGCATAGTTAAAAAAAAAAAACAAAAAAAAAAAATACGCATTTCTTTAAGAGGCGATAGGCAAAGCTGCAAAGAAACTGTAAAAGCCAGTAGGAAACGACAAATACAGTAGGTAAGATGTCTCCAGCTCTCTAAAATAGGGACTCGATTCTATAATGAGAGATCGGCCTGTTAATTGAATAGCAGATTTTGGAGAGCTGTTACTCAATTGCAGGAATTTAGTTTAAACTCTTGTGTAATAGGACCATGTGGCTGGATTCTGTGCAATCACCAGATAATGGAGCTTCACAAATAATACCACATCTTCAAAAAATATGTTTTAGAGATTTTACCGGTCTTATTTTTCCATTAAGAAAGTAGTACTGGAAATATTTCCCCAGCCAACGTCCTTCTGAGATGAAAACCGATCCATCGCCTGGGTAGATTTCAATGAAATGCATTCCTTGAAAAAAGAATCTGAAAAATAAATAGTGATTATGGTACCATCTTATATTTTTACTTTCAATTCGTAATGTATTACCAGATCTGCTAATATTATTAGCTCTGATCGGAATACTGATCAATACCAAAACCAATACAAGGTAACTGATTAAGAGAATAATAAAAATATTAATCATCAAAAAGCGGGCTGCATCACATACAGAGGAGCGACTTAATCAGAATTGTAAAAAATATAAAAGTGGTATGTGAGCGCTCCAAATATAAAGTAATGACCACTAAAACACTGTACCACAATACAGCAGTTATAAAGGGAAGCAAAACTAGATCTGGTAGCAACACAGGGTTAATATAAATTAGTAAGTATCAATATTGTTATGTGCCAAATATATAAAACATCATTTATTGAACATGAAAGTGAATAATAACATCAAATCAATATTACAACAATAAAATATATCGCCTAAATAAAAAAGCAACAAATGCCCAGAGCAGATGTCTAAAAAATAAACACAGTGTGGGGCCCCTTACACTGATGGAATGGCCACTGGAAAAAATGTGCACATATAAAACAATGATAGGAGTTAAAAACAATACCCAGACTCATACACTATCCTTGCCGTGTTGCTTCCCTTTATAACTGCTGTATTGGGGTACAGTGTTTTAGTTGTCATTACTTATATTTGGAGCGCTCAGATACCATTTTTATTTCGGAATACTGATTAATGCAAGGTTAAAAGGAACAATAAGTACCAGAAGCCCTGCCCTCTTTTTAAATAAAACAGTATGAACACTTACAGCCATTGCAATAAGTTGTAGTGGTTATTTTGAAAGGTTTTTTTAATTTTACAGGCTCTCTTACATTCCATAAATTTCAGCTGAAAGGAGTTCCTTAATGAAAAATGAGTTGCATAAAATAATTATAACTGGATGTACATTTTATGTAACCATTGTGTATTTCATATCCTACCTGTAAAGGATGGTGTTGCACATAGCCACTTTCAATGGAAACAAGCACGAAGGTTGTTTTCTGAAATCACAGACGTTCCATCTGGGTGTGTAGGATAAGAAGAGGAAAAAAATAAGACGAGTCAATGAGGGCAAAAATTGGCAAACAGTTTGCCCTATTGCTGGGAAACAGACCCAGAATACCCCTGGCATCATATTCACTACAGCAGGATGTAGTGGTTATAATGTTTGAAGTTACCTTTTAAGTAAAAGATGAAACATATAGTTAGTGCACGTACCAATATAATTTTACCTGTGTAAATGGGTTCCCCGGCAGCTCAGTGGAAGGGCTTTTGGCAATACAGAAGACTTTGCCCTTTTCAAGTTTTTCTCAAGTTCATCATCTAAACAATCAAGTCTTTCTTCGTCTGGAGACATTTTATTTTGAACATGGAGTGCCAAGGACATGGGATAAAGGAATGCTTCTGGACAACATGCAACCGAAAAGCACTGGGCCAGCCACGTGTATTGGAATGCATGCTTTGTACAATAGAAACCAGAATCTTCTCTCTCTCGTATAACACAAGAAGAATACTTAGATGTGGTAATGCATGTATTAGTGTTGGCAATATTTGCTTCCCTTTCTGAGTCCCTTGTGCTATCAGTTTGTTGACTTAAATGCCGGTTTTTCAGATCTTTGGTAATGCCCTCCACATGGCTTTCGGAGGCATGAATTGACACTTCGACCTTGCTGCTTAGCTGGCACAAAAACTCCACAGTGAATTCTTTTTGCAGAGCAGACATGTATAAATGGGCATTGCCATCTAGAGAAGAGACCTTTACACCGCCATCCTCAAGACAGGCAACATAAGTTTTACAGTGATCATCATCTTCAGAATCAGGCCACACAACTTCTGAAATCTCAGACAACAGACTCTGGAAGCACAAATAATATGTACATTAACAATAAAAACTTAATATATGTTGGGTCAATACTTCCTTAGAGGAAGAGTAAAGAATAATACTAACAGTTTTATTATATAGACTGCACTATGTACAAAAAGGGTAACAGTACTGGCTATGATTCTCAGACATGCTTGTGTCAGGAATAACTTATTACTACCAAGAAAAGCTTGTGACTTTAATTCCTATATGTTAAATAACAATGGAGGCACCATAAGCATTTCAGCTCCTGGAGAGGTAGTTGCACCATAGGATTAAAACATACATGCGTGAGTGCCACACACAGCACAGGAAGCCTTCACTTCCTTCACTAGTAGAAGCTATGGGTTCAGTGTAATCATGCTGTAAGTGTAAGTTGGATGAAATTGAGCCAGCAAGAAAACAAAGTTTCCAGCTAACTGATTGGCCACACCAGAGTTTGAAAAACTAACAGGGTGAACTAACTAAAGTGATTCCAGCTCCACCATTAGCCCACCTTCATGGAAGTGACCAATGTCTTTTGTACTGCTTATGTTTGGGAGGTTTGCCGCGACCTGGCCATGTCTGATGATGCTGATGCCTGTAGACGTGTACTCAGACAGACAGTAAGTCTGCCAGGAGAGAGTGGGAGGGCAAATTTAATGGTGATTTTTACAGTTTCTAGCAATTTGACTAGTAAAATGTATAGATGAAAATGGAAGAGCATTTCATTTAAGGTAAATGAAACATGCCAGGACAGGTACCCTGTAGGACAAATTCTTCCAATTCTGTTACGTTGGCCTTAAAGGACCACTATAGTGCCAGGAAAACATACTCGTTTTCCTGGCACTATAGTGCCCTGAGGGTGCCCCCACCCTCAGGGTCCCATTCCAGTCAGGCTGGATGGAGAGGAAGAGGTTAAACACTTACCTTTCTCCAGCACCGGGCTCCCTCGGTGCTGGAGACTCTCCTCCTCCTTTCCCCATCATCAGCTGAATGCGCATAGAGCCGCGCGCGTAGTCAGTCCATAGGAAAGCATTTTCAATGCTTTCCTATGGACGCTGGCGTCTTCTCACTGTGAAAATCACAACGAGAAGCACGGAAGTGCCTCTAGCGGCTGTCAATTAGACAGCCACTAGAGGTTGGATTAACCCTAAAGTAAACATAGCAGTTTCTCTGAGACTGCTATTTTTACAGCAGAAAGGGTTAATCCTAGGTGGACCTGGCACCCAGACCACTTCATTAAGCTGAAGTGGTCTGGGTGCCTATAAATGGTATTTTAAGTATGAAATTCACTTTGAATTTCTGACACTTCTCACATTAGTGATGAACACTATAAAGATCTTTGAACAGTGTTTCGTGCTGAAATGCTGCACACACCGTCCTTTCATCATAACTATTTTGGCAATCTGAAGTGGTTATAGTACCTCGAATAACCCTATAATATTATTATAGCAGCTTGAATACAATCCATAAGCCAAAAAATGAATACTGTTGCGCATTCTTGACAGTACATTCAGATTACTCACAACTGTTTTCTCTTTGGGTACAATACTCAATGGCAGAAATGGACGACTGGAAAAAGTGTTGCGGAAGGTCAGTATTTGGAGCACTTTATCCTACAAAAGGAGAAAAAATAGGGATAGTAAATGGACATACAATTAGCGATACATATACATCAATATAAAATAGCTAATAAGTGAGCAAACCCAATGACATAAGTTTACAAGTATTAGTGTTATCTCCAGCACTATTTTAGAAAGTTATTTGCAGTAAGGCAAGTAAACAAAACCCTGGAAACTAAAATCAATGCAGTAAATCAGATGGGCTTCGAGCCGTGAGATATTCAGAACACTGGAGGTAAGCGAGTACATACTACAGAAAACCAACACATCAGAGGAATGTAAAGGTCATCAGCTACATTTCACACAGGGAGTATACAAGCTAAACTAATTATATACATTGAGTTAATCAGCTTGAAAGGGACACTATAGTCACCAAAACAACATTAGCTCAATGTCTCAAATACATTGTAAAAGATCAAGTATTTTTTAATATATATATATATATAATTACCAATGCCCATTTCCAAAATGTGTTTCTTCCAAATGTGTTTTTTGTTGTTGTTTTTTTTTATAACAAGTATTATTATGTTCTCAGAATCCACAATATTTTTCAAGGAGAAGCATTTGATTGGTAATTGCCCAGAACAAACATGGAAGATTGTGCTGGTCAATAAGGGGGCAGATCATCTTAACTGCCAAAGTAAGTTCTGAAGGGTTCTTTTTAATGAATAAATGCTTATATTTGTCTGCATTGCTCAAATGCATTAAAAAAATAAATATATCATGTATTTGCATTCTGTAACTTGGACATTCTCCTAAAATGTCTCTCTCATAAGAAATAGTTTATGTCCATTCATTTTGCATGTTAAAGCTGTCTAGTCCTGGCTAAACTTACTATAGCTTTGTTGAAATACTTGTGATATTTTGTAATCTGTTCTATGAAAGCTATGGGAATTTAAAAAGGGAAATTATAGATCTTGATCACCACTCTCGCCTGCCCCTCTCTGTATATAAGAACCTCTTCCTTGTCACTCACTGTGTAAATGACCCCCCTTTCTCCTACCCTTCACTGAATAAGAGATCCCTCCCCCTCTCTGTATAAGAGATCCCCCCTGGCTGTCTCACAGTATAACTATAAGAGACACACCACCGTGGCTGTCTCTCACAGTGCACCCCTAGCTGTCTCTCGCAGCACCCCCTGTCTCTCACCCCCCTCCTGCTGTCTCTCACCCCTCCTGCTGTCTCTCACCCCACCCCTGCTGTCTCTCTCACCCCCCGGCTGTCTCTCTCCCCCGCCCCCCGGCTGTCTCTCACCCGGCAGCAGCTTGTTACAAACTCCGTCCTCTGTTTCCTCCTCTCCGGTGTCCGCAGTGGGTGAGCTCCATCCTCGGACCTTTCTATCACGAACTCGGTACCGCACGGTGCCAGCCAGAGCCGGGATCCGTCCTCATACCCGGCCTCCACCGAGTCATCGGAGAGCTGGATCACGGAGAGCAGCGCGGCCATCTTACCGCCGCCAGCAACCAGCAACCAGCAACCAGCTTCAAACAGCCCGGCCACCCGCAGCCACGCCTCCGAGCTCACCGATTGGACAGGATCGGCTATGTCCCGCCTATGGCCGGCTATGATTGGATGAGGCGTTGTTGTCCCGGAGACTGTGCAGGACGCTAGTATTCTAGATTGCCACCAGGGGGCACTGCAGTCAGTGTGTAGTTGGTTGTACAGTTGACTCATTTCAATCACCTTATTCTGATTTCATTTATAACAATAATATTTTTTGGTCCTGATATAAAATCTTCCTCCTGTTAGGGGTATTAGCCATTAGCCTAAATGGGTTGCCCTCAGGGCAGGGCACAGATGTAGCTTTTGAAATATGTATTATGATGATACTAAGATATGTAACAGGGGTGATGTTCCAGGAGGGATAAGCCAAATGACAAATGATTTAGGTAAACTAGAAAAATGGTCAGAATTGTGGCAACTGACATTTAATGTGGATAAGTGCAAGATAATGCATCTTGGACGTAAAAACCCAAGGGCAGAGTACAGAATATTTGATAGAGTCCTAACCTCAACATATGAGGAAAGGGATTTAGGGGTGATTATTTCTGATGACTTAAAGGTAGGCAGACAATGTAATAGAGCAGCAGGAAATGCTAGCAGAATGCTTGGTTGTATAGGGAGAGGTATTAGCAGTAGAAAGAGGGAAGTGCTCATGCCATTGTACAGAACACTGGTGAGACCTCACTTGGAGTATTGTACACAGTACTGGAGACCGTATCTTCAGAAGGATATTGATACCTTAGAGAGGGTTCAGAGAAGGGCTACTAAACTGGTTCATGGATTGCGGGATAAAACTTACCAGGAAAGGTTAAAGGATCTTAACATGTATAGCTTGGAGGAAAGACGAGACAGGGGGGATATGATAGAAACATTTAAATATATAAAGGGAATCAACACAGTAAAGGAGGAGACTATATTTAAAAGAAGAAAAACTACCACAACAAGAGGACATAGTCTTAAATTAGAGGGACAAAGGTTTAAAAATAATATCAGGAAGAATTACTTTACTGAGAGGGTAGTGGATGCATGGAATAGCCTTCCAGCTGAAGTGGTAGAGGTTAACACAGTAAAGGAGTTTAAGCATGCGTGGGATAGGCATAAGGCTATCCTAGCTATAAGATAAGGCCAGGGACTAATGAAAGTATTTAGAAAATTGGGCAGACTAGATGGACGGAATGGTTCTTATCTGCCGTCACATTCTATGTTTCTATATACTTAAAAATCTAAATTTTATTGAGAAACCAGTTATTTAAAATCAGTAACAGCCTGTGATTAAATGTGGTAGTACTGTACCACGAAACATATAAAAGGGACACTCCACTGCCCTAACAAAAAGATAAATAAAAATCACTGTTTGGTAGATATACCCCAAATGAAAACTGCCATACATTTAATTATGACTAAATTTCATTGGGGATATATCCAAAATCAGCTTGCAAAACCTGCAGTTCTCTGGTCTGCTGTCTTTGCAAGCTCTGCGCTTCTAACTCCGCCAAGACTGTCTGTAGCTGTCCAATCACAGACTCCCAATGCAGCTCAATAAGAAGTCTTTGTAAGTCAGGTGCTTTGGGCAATTGCTGCCTCTTGGGGTTTGCTGCATTGAGCTAACAAAACCAGGAAGTAACATTACCTTTTGCCAAGGAGGTGTAACCAGTTTAATTTATAAAAGAGCCAATTTCTATTGAAATCTGCACTTTTTGCAAAATGAAAAAAGAGGAAACACTCTTCACACATAAAGCTTTTGAGCAAGCTAAAGTTGCTTAGGGGTCTGGAGTGTCCCTTTAAGTTTTTATTTTCCCATTACCTATCTATATATGTAGGATTGTTACTTCTTTTAAATAATTTGGTTTTCAATAAAAATTAGATTTTAAGAATATCTGAAGGAATTCTGTTTTATATGCATTTGGATACTATGAGAGCCCATAATTGAGTCATATGGTAATGGGATGCTAGTTTTTACATGTGGAGCCTAAAAGACGGTGTGGAGGAATGTATGAGCACAGCGTTTTCAACTATATATCTGTAAGGTACATTTTTTACTTAAGATACTTTGCAGCATGGAATGATATATTAGATGAAGAGGCGTAACTAGAATCCACGGAGCACCCGTGCAAAAATTGCATACATCTACCTCCTATCCCACACATCCCCGCCCCCCACAGATGCAGACAAACAGATACAGGTGCAGACACATACACACACACATACACACAGAGACCCATACAAACAGACACATGTAGAGACACACACACATACACTCATATACACACACTCAGACATATACACACTTACACGTACACTCACAGACACACACAGAGACACACATACACTTACAGATATGTACACATTCAGACATAGATATGTACACATTCAGACAGACATACATACATACATACACACACACACACACACATTATCAATATTAAATGTCCACCCAGCCTCCCTACCTGGAGATCTGGCGTGGATCTGTCCCTGGGGTCTAGTGGGATATATTTTTATATTTTATATAGATTTTTATGGTATCACATTCTAGATAAGATATTTAATAAGATATTTATATGTGAATTTTGTATGTATTTTGATTTTATATGCCTTCATTTTTCATAATTATCATTACTCTTATTTATATTTATGAATTTTTCATATTGATCTTTACTCTTACATAATTTGATGATTATTCATGTGTCCACATTTTTTACATGTTATTCATCTACACCTCTATTATTATTATATAGAGGTTTTTTGCAAGGTTTATGTACATCTTTATTATAATGGATATTGTGGAAATATAAATGGACTCCTTTTTTTTCCTTAATAGGATATATATTTTTTTATATATTTATATATATTTTTTATACATATAAATTTATTTAATCATTTTTTTATATTTTTTCTTTTACATTCTTTCCTCCTTTTGTCCACCTGTCTGATTTATATTTCCCCCCTTTACATTTAATATCCTTCTGTTAGGGGTTAGTAGTGGGGTAGGCAGGCATTGTAAATCCGGTTTGTATACTTGTAGAGCGTTTTTTTCATAAGATCGCTCTTTAATGCTACCGTGTATATGAACAATAAAGTTATTTGCGGTTCACCTTGGTTGCGCATGCGCATAGCGGTCACGTATGCGTCATGATGTATGACGTTATGCGTGATGACGCATGGACGCATGCGCAACCACGGCAATCACGGAAGCCGGTAGATACACCGGCGGATTTAAAAGGAGGAAGATGGAGAAAGATGGAAGAAGCTCCTGAGGAAGTCTGGCGACGAAACGCGTTGAGCATTGAACACTAAGCACTATCTGGGACCCTGCATTGTGGTATCAGCGGTTTTATTTTGTGTGTATGCTGTTTGTTTACATTTACACTTTGGGCTATTTGAATATATATGTGTCATTTACTTGGTGCAATTTTAACATCAGCATTTTGCCTTTGAGCATTTGCACTTTCATTTTGCACTTTAGCATTTTGCACTTTAGCATTTTGCACTTTATTGCCCAGTTCAGCATTATGGATTATTGAGCTGCTATACCTATGGGTTCCTGCTTATTTATTGTTTTGGCACTTATTATTGTGCTGTTATTTTTTATCTTGTGTCAATAAATTACTATTTTTATTTGGATATTAGTCATTATATATATTTTTTTTCTTGCCCTCATTTATACCATTATAGTGACTGTGGCGCCCTGTTACTTTGTATATATTTCTATGGCGGGCGGCAGAGTTCCTGTCAAAGGCGGCAAGGGAGCTTTGTTCCTCTCTGCTCTGCTACCTCACGGGCTGTCTACTGATGCCAGGAGCCAGAATATGATGTCATATAAACTTTATTAAATTACAAACAAAAGTAAACTCCACATGGGAGATAAAAATGAAGTAAATGAAGAATAAAATATATTGCCCTCCCGGTCTTCGAGACGCGTTTCGCCTGATATACAGGCTTTTTGAATCGCTTGAATTGAAGCTCAATGTAAAATGTTGAGAAAAGCTCAATGTAAAATGTTGAGTGAGAGGCAGATTGGCTGTACATGTTGGAAGATGGTGGTCAGACAGAGGGAAAGGGGGTTTAGAGAAGTTAGAAACAGAGCATATTTGTGTAGGGGACATTAAGTATGGCCAAAGGAGGAGGTGATAGAAATCTAGAGGCTATAGCATTGGTAGGTTGGTTATTAGGGATGTTGAGTTCACCTAGATGCGGGAAGAAATGTCAGAGTAGAGAAAGTAATGATGCCAAGCACATAAATGATCAAACTAGGAGAGAGGAGAGAATGGAGCAGTAGGTAACAGCAACACAGGTTGAGAATCGATTTATGAGACAGATGTACTGGACTTCAGACGAGGTAAAAGGGAGAGAAGGACAAGGGGGCAAAGGTTGGAAGGAACAATGGTGAGACCAAAACCCCACACCACCACCCTAGTATGGTTAGGCCTGGGGGAGTGAGATAAGCTCAGTCCACCATATGATAGGGAGGGGTAGAAGTGTATGAGGAGACAGTTTTCAGTCAGTGCCAAAAGGTTTAAGGAGTGGGACATGGGGTGACCGTGAATGGATGAAGATTTCACAATGTTACAGACTGAGCATGCATCCCAAAGGGCATAACAAAAAGAATGGAATGTAGTAGTTTGACAGGGTATATGCAAGGGATTCTCAATTATCCTGGAGGAACTCTGGGTAGGGTGAGCAGCAGGGTGGGCAGGATTAGGGGACACATGGTGCTAAAAACAAAGGGGTGGCCAGAGAAAGAAAGTGGGAATGGGACTGCTATAATATTATATAATACCAGTGGTATAATGACACTCACATTTTCAAAGTAAAAAAAGTTTCCTGAGACAGAAATGGGAATAATTATTAACCCTACAAATCATTAACCAAGGGTGTGTAAATAAAAAAATACTACTTGTACAGGGACTAAAGCGTTTGCCCAATCTACATGTCTACCGTGACAATCTACTTGTC